TAAATTAATAACAATTAAGCAGACGAGTTTATACCTCTACACATAATATAATACACCGAAGGGAAAAACGGGAGCCCCATTTCAAATTTCCTGCAACGAGAGTGAAAGTAGGAAGGACATTTTGGTCTTCACACTTACTTTTTTTAATTCATTAAAAAGACACGTAGTGGGATTCGAACCATGACCATTTTAAGGAAAAGTAAGGATCATAACCAATCACACTAAGTACATTTGTTGCATTTTTTTAAATTAAAAAGATATAATAGCAGAGAGGAAAAAACCCTTCCCCCATTTCAAATTTCCTGCTCCAGGAGCGTTTGTAAGAATGATAGAATAGGGAGTGTCAATTTTTTCCTCTTTCCTCTGTGGAACGGGCCAACTTACCGTACACATGCGGATTTAAACGGGTTCAAGAGTGTCAATTTTTTCATTAAGCCCTTTTATTTCTCCGTGGTGATAAAATATATATGAAGAGACAAAAACAATACTTCTTTTTATTGCTAAAAATAAAAAATTTAACAATAAACTAATGCATGGTATCTAATGGGCTAACCGCTAACCATAAAATAAAAGAGTTGAGTTGGTTTGACCTACACGGGATTTGGCCATCAAGTAAAACAAATGAACATCATTGGTTTGACATTCTAAAACAAGCTATTTTCTCTGGCATAATATATTATGCTATTATTTTATATCTTAGTGGCTAAAATATAATGTATTTTAAAGTTATTCAATGGTTCAACCTCGACCAACCCAATTAGTCCAATTTTTATCATTTCAAATATATATTATATAATTATTTGATATCATAATGATCAAATCGTAGTGTATTTTATAGGGAATCGTTTGGTATTTGTTAGTAAAAAACTAAACAGAAAGATCTATTTGGTTATTTTAAACATTAAAACGATCCTAACATTTTCAGTTCTTTTTGAATTTCTATGGTTTTATTCCCGAATAAGTGATGTGCAAATGGCAGTCATCTCTTTTCTTTCACTATTTTTTATTTTTAAATAAAAAGTTTAAAAGTAAAGAATAATTAGAATTTGGCATGGGTCGGTCAAACAGGCTGCATTTCAAGTTTTGGCCCCTTTTGATCAAGTCTAATTTATAATCACATGGTTCCCTGATACCCGATAAAAATCTCAATCCAAACCAGTTTGGCAGGTGAGTCCGTGTTTACCACCATTTTCTAGGGATACGACAACGACGGTTCCTATCCCAAATCATGTTGTTCGTTCTTTATTTCCTTAGATTTTATCATAGCCTGAAAAAAAACCAGAAAGCACAATGACGACAAGATGAAAGTTTTATAAACCAAATTAATCGGCCAACGGGCCGAGTAAAAGCTAGCAACGATTGTGAGATGCTCATTTCCCGAAAACCGACGGGATAGGCGATTTTTTATTCAATTTTCTGGAATTCAGTTTCTATAAAACTTACTCCACCTCATCATATTACCAGAAACAATATTGTTTCACAAGGTAACAGGTACTTGATTTTGGTTCATAAGGCCGATTTTTGATTTGTTGCATCATTAATGTCTCTTTCCTGCTAAAATTCACTATTTTTATCACGTGTTTCCCAAAAAAACTATACAACAATAAGTTATACACCCCATTACATTATCAAATTTCATACCTCACCTTCCTCTAGGGATGAAAACAAAATCCGAACCCACGAGTACCCACCCTACCCAACTCGGTCAACGCGGGTAAAATCCGTGTTGACGGGTTTTGGGCCGGGTTTGGGTTTAAACCCGTTCAATATTCATCGGGTTGGGTTTGGGTTTAGGTAAACCCGACCCATGGGTACCCACCCACACCCATATAATTAATTTTCTCGATATATTTAATATTCTAAACAACTTATCTTATTTATGTTTGTGGAGACATGTCTAATTTTTTCTTTCTAATTGTGTAAAATGAAGTTGATGTTATCGAGTGGAGAGTGAAGAAACTTAATTGAAAGGAAGAAGCTTTCAATTAATCATGTTATTTATGGATAATTTGTTATTTGCTTGAATTTTCTAGAATGGTATTTTATATATGGATAATTTGTATTGAGAGATTGATATTTGACTTTAATTTTGATAGCAACTTGTTATTGTAAATTTTTTAAGACAAAAACCTGTGGGTACCCATGAACCCGCGGATACCCAGGGGGTTGAGTTGGGTTTGAGTTTTTCAAACCCAGTGGATTTTACCCCGAATTTTTTTCACGGATAAACCCATGAATTTGGATTTGAATTTGGCAAAACCCGACCCAACCCGACCCATTGCCATCCTACCTTCCTCAGGCCAACTGGCCGGGGCCCACACTAGTTAACATCTAGCTACACAAACATCTTCAATATCTTTATCTCAAAGTTTGTGATTCTAAACACTAAACTAGTTGATTAATTTCATTCTGTGTAATACTACATATTCAAGGGCTAATACTACTAAGAAACCCGAACTATTAAGAAAGTACCATTTGTATCCCAAACTATTCAATATAACAATTATGCTCCGACGTATGGTATTTGTGTCTCATTTGTGTCCTAATAATTTTGTTGACCGTTATAGATAATATTTGACCAGATGGTGGTCAATTTAATGTTGACTTTGGATGACTTGGCAAAGACGTGAAAGCCATGTCATTGACACCTAAGTTTTTTTAATTCAAAATTAAATAGAAACTGAAATTAAGACGTTTTAAAAAATATATAAGTAAATTAAAAAAAAAGACGACATTTCCAGGCTTCGCAGTCGGAAAACGAAATTGCGGCTTTCGCCGCTAGAATAGGAATTCGGACTTACTCACCAATCTCCAATAGGCTACTAAGCCTCAGACTTCCTCATTAATCTCCGGCTAACTCGCTCTAATCGACGTCGTCTTCTCCGGCACCGCTCCGAGCTCCAATCGACGTCTTCTCCAGACGTTCCCAACTTGCTAGTCGCCTGCTCCGCTCCTTCGGCGCCAAATTCTCACTATGTTCGTCTCTCTCTCTCTCACACACACAAACACACACACACACACACACACACAGAGTAATGGGTCTTCGTAAGCCATGAATGTCGCCCAAAAATAAAATCCCAAAATTTCGCCCAAAACTCACATCCCTAATTTTTAGTTCGTCGAAAACCATGTCACCAAATTCATTGGCGAATGACGATGTTTCGCACCGAGAAAATCAGGAATTCCTCGGCCGCCTACGAGAAATACATCACAGTTTTCATTTTAATTTGGGTCATGAAACAACGCTCTCTCGACCAACAACTAGACCTCCTCGTCGGCTTTGTCTTGACATCGACGAGCCCGTGGACATCAATAATTACTTCACGCACCTAAAACTATCATGCACATTGATGCTATGCAATACCTTCATGATATAAATTTATACCATGATCGTTCACAACTAATACTATGCTGGTATAGGTTGAATTCAATGGATAAATCTTTGGCTCGGATGATTATCCACCTAGTCCTGTGTTGATTCAATGATGTGATACTCTAGTATGGATCAAAGCTACTCAGGAGTTCTTATTCGAGTTTTCCTAACCCGCCTAAATCCACTCCCTTAGGCGATGGCTCGAAATGGTGTAAAGAAACATATCACCCTCGTTCATGGCCCCTTACGATGATTGAATAATGCCCTAAATTACACGAAGGAGATCTTCTCTCACATAGAATTGGATCCATAATTGAGGGAATTGATCAAGGAACTTCAATTATCATGATAAATATTATAATTCTATCAATATACATGCCAATCACAACATAGAGTTCACAATCACAAAACTACAACATCCTAGACTAGGGTTCACATTATCCAAGTTAATTGAAAATTCTACTACATGCCTAGAGAAAGAATCCGAACTATGAGGAAGGAAAAAAACTCATGAAAAAGATGAATCCCCTTCTTTCTAGTTGTTTGGGATGGTGTAGAAGATGAAATCTTACCTCCTTTGATCTTGGGTAGCTCAAACTTAACTTATATCTTCATCGGTTCATTGTTTTCTCTTTCTAGAGTGAAGAAGAAGATCAATCACTATCTCTAAAACTCATTTTTTTTCTTGAAATATGCTCTCTCTTCATATTTATATTCGCATTGCAATCTTTACGGCCACGTCTCACGATCGTGACGTGTGTAGTGAAACCATGATGTCAACACAAAATGCACCATTTCATTTACACACTTCACGATTTCCTTGCAATCTTCGCACCCTGCGTCCGTGAGGTCTACAGTGCCTGCGAGACGTCCAAATGCTTATGGAGACTTACAAGCTTCACAGTTTGGTGGTAATCTTCATGATTGTTGCCCGTGAACATATTCTCTGAAACGTGATCCACGCAATTTCCATCACTTTGTCCATTTTTTGCTCCCTTTCGTTCGAATTTCTATCATTTCGCCCATTTCACTTGCTAGAACCTGAAACATACTAAAATATGACAAAACGTAGCATAAAATTAAAGGGTTAATTGAATGGTTGGTCACTGGGATTACAAAAAACGTTTATGTTTGGTCACTCGAAATATTTAATCCATTGGTGATACTTCATTTTACTAAAACCGTTCACGTTTGGTCACTCTCGTTAGTCGTCGTCCATCTCCGTTAATGGAGTCCATTAAGTGGTGACGTGGCGCACAAAATCGTATAATCAGCCCTATTTAACCCGAAAATAGTGCGACCCGACCCGCTACGTCACTGAGACCCACCATGTCATCTAAACCAACCCAACCCTTTAACCAAATCCGTGAATCCACCCACTCAAATTGAAACAAATCCACAATATATGTCTTTCTTCCTCTTTCTGTCTTCTTCCTCTTCCTCCAACAATAACCAGAATTAATTGAGGCATTTCCTCCATAGAAGCTCGAAATCCTACAATAGCTGTGATAATTCCTCTTTCGATTCCTTGCTCGACGACACCCTCAGCCTTCCATTGCTGAAAGCAAACATAGACTGCGAGTCCTCGGTTTCCCTCTCTTCATCTCGCCTATCGCTCTCATCCTTGTCATCCGGCCACGGAGCACGAAGATCTCTCCCTAGGCTCTCCCTCGATTTGGAGAAGCTCAACGCCGCTTCCAATTTGAGCCTCACATTCAACCATTTGCAGAGTCCCAACCTGTTCGTCCTCAACTGCAATCAGAACCCGTCGGCCACCGCGTATGAGAATGGTGAAGCTGCGAGCTGCGGAAATTGGAGGAGAAACACTACGACAAGCAGATTCGGGATGAGCCTGATGCAGAGAGCTACTACAACCGCCGGCGCAACAGCCTGCAGGAGAAGAGTCAAGCGACGGGAGCAGGGGAGTCTCAACCGCGTGCGGCAGGAGAAGAGTCAGGCGCCGGGAGCAAGGGAGTCTCAAGCGCCGGCGCAGTAGGAGAAGAGTCAGGCGGCAGGAGCAGGGGATTCTTAACCGCCGCCGCATCAGGAGAAGAGTCAGGCGACTGAATTCATCAAGCAGAGTCGAGAGGAAGGTGGCAAGAAGACGATTTTATGGATTTTTTTTTTAACTTTTAGGGTTTCCATTTGAGTGGGTGGATTTACGGGTCTGGTTAAAGGGTTGGGTTGGTTTAGATGACATGGCGGGTCTCAGTGACGCGGTGGGTCGGGTCGCACTATTTTTGGGTTAAATAGGGCTGATTAGATGATTTCGTTCGCCAAATCATCACTTAACGGACTCCATTGACGGAGATGGACGACAACTAACGGAGAGCGACCAAACGTGAACGGTTTCAATAAATTAAAGTACCACCAATAGATTTAAATATTTCGAGTGACCAAACATGAACGTTTTTTTTGTAATTCCAGTGACCAACCATGCAATTAACCCTAATAAAATTAAATGACTCCAATGACAATCCTACACAAGTTAAACAATAAAGATAAAGGGGTATAAATGTGTATAAAATGGCTCGAATAAAGGAGTATGGTGGAACATTCCCCTCAGAGTTAGGCAGCTTGGCTACCACTTTTTTAGTGGTGGTATAACAGCAATCATAACAATACCTTGTTGGTTACACCGTTTAAAGCATTGAATGGCTACTCTCTCACCCAATTCGCACTTCAGGACCCTATTTCTACTTCTGTAGTAGTGGTAGTGGTAGTAACAAATAACCTCCATCAGTAGCAACGCCTTATCTATATAATTAGGGAAATTTTGGATATGACTCCAAATTGACAAAAGGATATGGATGATAGACATCATACTAAAAAAGAGATTTGAAGGTGGGGGATTTGGTCTACTTAAGCTTAGACCTTACAAGCGGATGTAAATATTTCTGCTAGAATAAATAATAAGTTGTCTCCTAGGTTCTTTGGACCCTTTTTAATCTTAAAGAAGGTTCGTGTTGTGGTCTATCACATGCAACTTTCTGCTGGTTATGCTATTTATCCAGTGCTCCATATTTCACTGCTGAAATGTACTGCAGGAAATCAATGAGTCACTCAATTAGCATTGTCTGAGTATGATGAAGCTGGAAGTTTGAAGATGGAATCATTGTATATATTGCCCTGTCATTTTATTTCAAGATGAAATCAAGTTGCTACTCAAATCCTTGTACAATGGACTCACCACACAGAAGCTCATGCCACTCGAGAGTATTTGGATGAGTTCAAGATCAAACACCTAATAGAAATTGGTGATGTAGTATTTGGACGAGTATTTGATATAATTTTATCCTTCATAATAAAAGCAAAAGGTAACTCTTACCATCCCAATTAGTTCATGCATGGATGGTTTTGCTGTATAACGTTTGTGAACCACGATTTTTAAATAGTAACCACCGCCTTAACCAAAAGTAAGCAAGTTTATACATGACATACCAAAACCAACTTGTATGTTGTTTGAGAAAAATCCACATGCACCATCCTCAAACAACCATATCTATAATGTAAATTTTTTGTCACAATGTCAATGGTGACTGACTTTATTCTAAATTATTACTATCTGGACAAGTGAAGGAGAATGAAGAAGAATTTGTGTCTATGAGATAATCATAACTCTCAAGTTATATGAATGTTGTAAATGGTAAAGTGAGAGGATCTAGGACATACTTATGAGATATAATTGATTGGGTTAGCTACATATATATACTAAAAATATCATACATGCACCAAAACTTTAACTTTTTCAACCAACCCTCTCAAACATTATATGGGTTGAATTTTCTATGATAAAATCGGTTCGAGATCGATTGGGTACTCATGGGAGGGATACCCTTGCCACACCAATTAGCAAGAGCACATACAAAAAAGCGGTACTGGGATTCGAACATGGGACCTTGTCACATTCCAAACCCGAAACCCAGTCCTTTTATCAACTAGGTTGTCTTACCATCAACGCCCCTATTATTACTACGCTACCCGCAATTGTAACATTATGGGAATGACATGTTTCCAGTTATTTTGTAATTCAAATACCACATCAAAAATACTCGAGATCAATGATGTGACCTAGCCCTCCCGATTTGAACTTGGTGCGATTCACCACTAACAAAAACCTGATCGGTTTAACCATATGCCAAACCAACCGTGTGATACACATTTTCCACCAATATATGTGTATTTTACGAAGTCGATAAATGGTAGGTGGTTCTCTGCTCCAACCTACCAACCCATATGCAGAAAGGTACGTAACCCTGGCTGAGTCGTGACCATGGAAAACGAGAGAGGGCCCCTGACATCATCGATCTCACTCAGGCTCAGCTGCTGCGTTTTGTTCGGTTTTGCGAAGCGATGATCCCATGCAGCCATAAACCGGAATCTATTGGGAAGTTGATTCTGTCTCCTTCCCTTTTGGCCATTTACCAACCCCTTTTTCCTCAGATACTAAATTGATGCTACTTCCTAATTTAAAAACGTAAAATAATCATCAAAAAATAATTTTCTTTCCATGATGGCGGCCCGCTACAGTTTATAAACATATACTATATATACTTCACCCCGGCTGCTATCGACTGACTTACTATACCTCCAACCCCTCTCTTCTCTTCTCTTCTCTTCTTCCTCCCCCGGCAAAAGAAAAGTAAACCAACCGCCACTCACCGTTTCTCAAACCATGTCTTCTCTTCTTCACTCTGCTGCCGCTTCCTCCTCCGCCGCCGCCACCAAACTTCCCGTGCCGGCATCCTCCTTCTTCCGACCCCTGTTTTTCCCTACCGGTGAGTGCTGTAAATTGCGTCAATTAATTTTTATATATGGCAAAGACTAGCGTATGTTTGGTGTAAGCTATTATTTATCGGGAAGGCGCGTGCAGTACTTTTTGTTTCTCCTTTCGACCGGGAAAGAAGATCGTTTTTTTTTTAATATTAATATAAACATTAATATAAATGGATGAATAAATAAAGAAACGGCATTTCCAAAGTGGTCAATCTGATGGTTTCAGTGAAGGGTGATTCGGATTTCCCCCCGCCTTTTCTTCTGTCGCCGTGCTGCAAGCAAGTAGTGGGAATGCCACGGAGATCGAATAGACAGCTTTCTCTTCCTTTTTTTTTATTTTTTAATTCTTTTATGTTTTCCGATTTTCAGTTCTTGTTGCCAATGAGGGAGAAAGAAGGTGAAGAGGGGACTGTTCTTGCTTCATCATTGGCTTATTTAATTTCAACCATTTTTTAATTAGACTGTTTTTAACATTTTATCCATTTCAAGCAATATGACTATTGGCTCCACCGTACACCCTGTAAACAAAAAACTCTTTTGATAGGTTTCATGGTCGTGAATTAAGTTTTAACCATGACAAAATGTTAGATCTGGCAAATTACAACCCGATTCGTTGACCCGACCCGAAACCGCCCGAAAAATAAAAAAATTTGTAACCCGAAATCCGAATGACCTGAACCCGATAACCTGTGATTTTTTGGGTCGGGCTGGGTGGGTTAGCAGGTCGACATGTTCCATTTAATATATTACTCCCAAAATATGATAAAATCACTCATAAATTGGTGAGATGTTTTAAATAAATCACAAATATTTGAATGTCATGTTTGGAGTTTAAGGTTAATCAAATATCATGTGTTTCTTGTAGTAGTATTACTCTTGTGATTGGTTTTTGACGATTTGTGCAATTTATATTTCATTTCATCAGCGTGAGAGGATTTGAGAATATGTTAATTGACATATGTTACGTAAACTATTGTCATGCATATGTGAAAATTTGTGTTCTTTAAGAAAATATGAAGCATGTTTGATATTGTTTCTGAGAACGTTCATAACCGAAATGACCTGTAACCCAACCCAAAACCGAATAGGTTGGGTCAATATTTGACCCGAAATAAGCCAACAAATTATGACCGACCCGTAACCGAAGTTCCCAACCCGAAATTACCCAACCCGACCCGATTGCCAGGTCTAGAAAATGTTATAACATTGATTAATACAATGTGATAAAAATTTGAAATCAACAATTTCATTGAGAATTTTCGTAAAAGGAAAAATAATTCGATTGGGAAAGGTGTTAAATTTGTTTCTTCGATTTGATCCTTATATTACTACAGGCCTATGGTTGAACGGAGATTTTTTTAAGGAAAAGAAGCTTCATTCTGATACTCGCGGGAGATGCAGTGCCATATCCCAATCTCGTATCCAAGGTGAATATGTCATTTATTTTTCTTTCACTTTCCTAGAAAAACCAACTACATGAATATGAGAAGTCACCATCTTATATTCCTAATTATTATATTCTCCTTTTTGGTTTTGCTCTTTCACAAACTAGCAATGGCTCCATATGTACAACGACCATAGCATTAACTTTTTTTATATTTGTCCTGAAACCTATCATTATCAACATTCGCCGTTTTGTTGGACCCCAATTCTTATGTTGTTTCTTTTTTTGTTTCCTAAACATGGAAAAGAATACGAAGCCGACGTGTTTCAGCAAAATGGTTTGCCGGTCATAAAGTGGCAGGACGTTGTGGAAGATGACATGGAACACGAAACTCTCAAGGTGGATATATAAAAATTATTTTCGAACTCTTTTAATCAACTCATAATTACTATTATTGTTTAATTTGGATGCATTATACCGATCATGTTGACTTTTAATATGGCAATGTCTAAATTTTTAAAATAAAAATCTAAAAGTTGTCGATATCAAAGGACATAAAGAAACGGGTCAATACGATCAAAACCATGTTGAGCACCATGGAAGATGGAGAGATCAACGTCTCGGCATACGACACTGCCTGGGTAGCTCTGGTTAAAAACATCGACGGAAGTGACCGCCCGCAGTTCCCAAAAAGCCTCGAGTGGATCTCCGACAATCAGCTCCCCGACGGCTCGTGGGGAGACGCCCTCATTTTCCAGGCACATGATCGCATCCTCAACACCCTGGGCTGCGTCATCGCTCTCACCTCCTGGAATTTACACCCCGATAAATGCGCAAAAGGTACTTGCTCTTTTTTTCTCTCATTTCATTATTGAATATCAAATTCGAGCACAAAGAAAAAACACATTTTAGCTTGTTTTATGTGTGTCAACGAACCGGATTTCCTATAAACGATAAGAGAAATTTTTTTGTTTTTGGGGTGTGGTGGACTATTAAGTATTAACAGATGATATGTGGACAAAAAGATAGAAACACACCGCCCATGTGATACTCTACCAGCTGCTGGCTGGGTGGTCGTAATCCGAATGAGTGACGGATTTGACTCTATTGTATCGTCTGTTGTTGCTGTGTGTAACGTACGATGATTGAATGAATAATTAAATTTTGTGGGGGACCATATATGCAGGGATGAAGTTCTTCAACGAGAACCTGAGGAAGCTGGAAGACGAGAACATGGAGCACATGCCCATCGGCTTCGAAGTTGCTTTCCCTTCCCTCCTCGAGCTAGCCCGCCGCTTGGACCTCGACGTCGCCCACCATTCCCCTGTTCTCCAGCAGATCTACGCCGCAAGAAACATCAAGCTCAAAAAGTATATATCTTTAACCTTTTTAACTAAATAATTAATTACCCAAATGGGAAGAAGTGAAAAGAAACAACAACAAAAGGGTGATGATTGTTATTCTAATTAAATAAATAGGATCCCAAAGGAAATTCTGCACACTGTTCCAACGACACTGCTCCATAGCTTGGAAGGAATGGCGGAGCTGGATTGGGGAAGGCTTCTGAAACTGCAGTGTGAAGATGGGTCTTTCCTCTTCTCCCCTGCCTCCACTGCCTACGCACTCTCCCAGACCAACGACCAAAAGAGCTTGGGATACCTTAGTAAAATCGTCCACAAGTTCAGGGGAGGAGGTAAAAATTAGTTTTTTTTTTTTTTACCTTTGTCGATTATTAATTTTCGGTTTTACTTTTCCTTGATTTTTTTAACCGTACCATTTAATTCCGTTTTTGTTTTTATGGGTGTTATGGTCAGTCCCAAATGTTTACCCGGTGGATCTGTTTGAGAACATATGGGCCATTGATCGGATGCAACGCTTGGGAATTTCAAGATACTTCCAACCTGAGATAACCAACTGTGTGGACTACATTGAAAAGTTAGTTTTAATTTTTGTCTTTTTTATTATTTTTTTTATTATTTTTTTTATTATTTTTTTTATTATTTTTTTTTTTTTGGTCTGGATGGGATAACAAGAAGCATGGTTGTCACGCCGGTTGGCGTCCCACCGGTTGTACCGGCATGGTCGATATACGAATCTCTAAGTATAATTACCTTATTTTAGAGAATTTAATTGATAAAAATTATTTTATTATTTATTTTATGAGTATAAAAGTTAAATATTGATGTTATTTGTTGGATTCAAATATAAATGTTTAGGTATTGACGTCAAATGTCATGTTTAAATATGATTATTTATAATTTTATTTGTAATATTGACCAGCATGAACCGGCACAAACCGGTATGTGCCACCGGTTGAACCATTCCACTTGCTAAACCGGCACACTGGCATAAACCGGTTTGACAACCTTGACAAGAAGTGGTTTGTTTTGTTTAACCTTTGTGTTTGTTTCTTTACCTTGTTTCAGACACTGGCATCATAAGGGAATTTGTTGGGCCAGGAACTCTGAGGTCCACGACATTGATGACACTGCCATGGGATTTAGGATCTTGAGAACCCACGGCCGTCAAGTTTCTCCTGGTAATTATTATGGATTTAAACTTTAAAGTTTAGTTTAAAAAAAGACTTCTTGAAGATTTTTGGTTAATCTTTTTGTTTTCTTTCCTTTCCTTTTTCGTTGTGTTTTTTGGCAGATGTGTTCAAGTACTTTGAGAAAGATGGGGAATTCTTCTGCTTTGCCGGACAATCAAATCAGGCGATCACAGGGTTATTCAACTTGTATAGAGCGTCTCAAGTGTTGTTTCCGGGAGAGGAAATCCTAGAGAACGCTAAAGAATACGCCTACAAGTTTCTAAGGGAGAAGCAAGCATCAAATGAGCTTCTCGACAAATGGATCATTACCAAGGACTTGCCTGGAGAGGTACTACACAACTAATCTTGTAAAATTAAAGTTCGATAGGAGTTTTTTTATAGAAAAAAATTACTGCTTCAAAAACAAATTATTTACAGTTTGTATAAAATGTTGAATCTTTGTTAGGTGGGATTAGCATTGGACGTGCCGTACTATGCTAGCTTGGCCCGAGTGGAGAGCAGATTCTTCATCGAACAGTACGGCGGGGAGGAAGATGTCTGGATTGGAAAGACTCTCTATAGGTCACCATCTTTGACTTTGCAACCCTCTACTACAATATTATTAATTATATTTACTACTAATTATATTTAATTATAGCTATACTGACATGGTTAAAGCTGTCGCAATATATTTTGCTACTAATAACGGGAACGGGTGACCGTCAAATTTGGCACCTAGTTAATTATTATAATAATAGATATGTCTTCAAGTATGCGACTTAATCTTTCCAGTCTTTTCGTCCAATTTTTACTGTACTTGTCTCGTATTTGAGTGAATTATTTGGGTCCAAATAACTCTGTCATTTGGTAGCATTTTACTCAAATGAGTTATTTGGGTTGTGAGTTATTACTCCAAAATAACTCGTTTTGTTTCTCTGCTTCTTTCCAAAAATTACATGTGTATGGTTTAACCAAACGAAATACTTTAATCTGATTATCGCTAAAGTACATCGAAATACCAAATGAACGTTATTTTACAGGATGCCCCTTGTGAACAACAACGAGTATTTGGAGCTGGCCAAGATTGACTACAACGATTGTCAAGCAATGCATGGCGTGGAATGGGACAACCTTCAAAAGTAAGTTTAGTGATCGGTTTTTACTTTTACTTTTCTTCACTGAGAGGGAAATAAGTAAAAGTCTAGTCAAGAATAACAACAAGGTGTTTTGTTTTCCTTTTTTTGTTTTTTGTTCTTTTGGGGTGGATGGGTAGGTGGTACGAGGAAAGTGGAGTGGGGAAATACGGGGTGAGCAAGAGAAGCCTTCTGTGCGGCTACTACCTGGCGGCGGCCACCGTGTTCGAACAAGACCGCCCACTGGAACGGCTGGCATGGGCCAAAACCACCGTGCTCCTCCACGCCGTCCGCTCTCACTTCCGCCGCCACAGCAACGACGATTCCAGCCACCAGCGGGCTGCCTTTGTCCGCGAGTTCGAACACGGTATCGGCGTCGTCAACGGCAGGAGATCGAGCGAGGAGAAGAAACGACAGGAGCTGGTCAAGTTGGTGTTGGGAACACTAAACCACATCTCGCTCGACGCCCTGGTCGCTCATGGTCGGGACATTGGTCACTCCTTGCGCCACTCTGTAAGTTCCCCAAACCGACCATTTTAAGATTAAGAAAATAAATAATTTACTCTGAAAAAGTTGCATAAAAGGGTAAAGAAATTCTTTTTAGTGATAATAGCGAATGTTGCTCCGAGGAGGATTCGATAAAGTAAGAAAAATGAAAACAGAAAGCACATGAAATACGATTTACGTGGTTTACTAACACCATGTGTGTTAGCTAGCTAGTCCACGCTACATGGGTATGAGAGAGCCAATTTCACTATGTTTTATGAGACTTAATTCGTAACTTCTAGTCATAGCGTTGTTAGTCTGATTCAAGTCGTCTCATCAGTATTGCTGTGTACGTAGTGTGACTTATTGACTTATTGTGTATACTTGCTTGTTTGTTTGTTGTTGGGATGATTGCAGTGGGAAGAGTGGCTGGCGAAATGGGAAGAGGAAGGAGACGAGGGAATTGGGGAGGCAGAGTTGCTCGTCAACACACTCAGCCTGGCTTCTGGCCGTTTGAGCTCCGAAGAGTTGTTAGCCGATAAGGACGATCCTCTGTACCAAAAGCTGGCCGAGATCACTAACCGAGTTTGCCATCAGCTTGCCCATTTCCGCAATGCAAAGGTCACTATCTACTTTTTTGGCCTTATTTCTATATTAGCATGATTCCAAACTCACCAATTTAATCCCACAAACAAAAGTGATGAATGGGCAAAACTAGCAGAAAGAGGTGGTCAGAAGTCAGAACAATGGAACTTTCCACTTTCATCCCAAACAGGGTTTTTTTTTTTCTTGAAAATTTTCAGACGGCAAACCCCATCAAACAAATCCAATGGCTGACCTCTCATCTTAATTTATGATCAGTTTTCTCTAAAGGGAGAGACATAACCAAGTTGATTGAACATCTCTAATGGCTAGATTAGCTACTACTGTTGTCAATGGGTTCTGACAATGTTCCCAAACTAAGTTTCAACTTCACCCATTCAGCCATAGTGGCAAACAATTAATGGACAAAGTTGATCAATATGTTGTTTACCACTTAAAGCTTCAGCTAGGGTGATATAAATTATAAAAATAAAATAAAGAACTTACATTAATGGTGTTTCATTTCTAATCTTGGGGGGTAAATGCTGTGAACAGGAAGGGGAAAGTAATCACAGCAGCCTCCCGACGACAACCCCAGAAATAGAGAGTGGAATGCAGGAACTGGTGCGTATGGTGACACAGAATGATGAAGGGATCAAATCCAGTCAAATGAATAAGCAGAGATTCCTGGATGTAGCCAAGACATTCTACTACTCTGCTGTTGTTGACCCAGGAACCATCAATCACCACATTGCCAAAGTGCTCTTTGAGAGAGTGTACTAGAAAAAACAACAGCTGCAGGTCCATTGTGCATATCTCTCTCTCACACACACAAGTTCTGGGAAATCTCAGTTTATAAGTTCATTCAGATTCCTGTTTGTAATCAATAGCCATCATGTTATCATGTTGTATGACTTGCAAACTTGTCATGTAATTAATCCGTAAATCGGTAAAGCACACTAGCTAATAGTTATGGTGATATAAACATTTTTGTTTTTTCATCCAATAGTCCTAATCCAACCACAATGTATCATAAAAATATATAAGTAAAATTGTGGGGTGGAGGAAATCTAAACTTGAGGGGGAGGAAATGGGGAACTTTTTGGCGGAAAATCTAAATTGGAGGGGGAGGGAATGGGGAAATTCTTGGAGGGAAATGTAAATTGCAGGGAGTGGAAATGAGAAAATTTTGGAGAGAAATCTAAATTGGAGAGGGAAAAATGGGGAGAAATCTTAACTTGTGGGTTAAAGTTGTGTAGTGAACTTTAATTATACATTTATAGTTTTCAAAACTTATGTTTTTATTTATCTTAATGTTAGTGAACTTGTTGGGGATTCTTCTAAGGTTGGGAGTGCCTTTCCTCTTGGAGAAACTCTCCTCGTTGATATTAAACACACCTTAGAGCAATTATGAAGCAATGATAAAAGCGGATATATATTTATTAAAAATATATGAAAATACTATATTTGAAGTGTTATCACTTTTAAGAGAAACCTAGCAAGAAGTCAATGGCTATGAAGGTTATTTGTGGTTCTTGCTCGTTGGTGGTATATTCGTTTTCCTCTTTTATTTTCATTCTAATTAGTTGACTAATAAGCCTCAGGTTCTTAGTACTTTGCATTGCACTCTGCATGGGTAAAAAAGGATCATTTATCTCGTCACAAACCAGACACTCTCATTGATGGTTCAATTTTTAGTCGATTATCATCTTTACTTTTACTGTATTATGATTGTTCATATTGAAGGGAAGTCGTATTAATCTGTTAGTTACCTGGTCGAGGACGAATCAAGCCACAGGGATGGGATGGAGTACTTCCTCTGTATTCTTTTTATTTTCTACAGCCACCTCCCCTTAAGTGCGATTTAGGTTGATTGATTAAGGGGTCGTTTGCTTGTGGGATTTGGTTGTTGTATTTGGCACCCAAATACCAAGTATTATGTATTTGATGAAAAAAACATTGTTTGTTGAGGTATACAAATCCGTGGGCCCACGAATTTGGATCTTTTTTTAGGGGTCGTTTGGAGAATGGGATTTAGGGCGTGGATTCATTGAATCCGTAGATTTTGTAGAAAGTTATGTTTTTTTGTTATTTTTTGTATTGTGGATTTGAGCTTTAGAGATTTCAAATCTCTAAAATCTACGGATATCAAATCTCTCATAATCGGAGAGATTCTATATCTTGATTCGTGAGATTTTTTTTCTCCTACTTTTTCTCTTTGTTTTATTTATTTATCATATTAAATATATTTATCAACAAAGTTTTTAATATTTCTCGAACCACTCTAATTTTTTATTAAGGATAAACACGTTATTTAATATAAAAATAATTTTTTTATTTTCATTGAATGTTAACAATCACAGTTACCAAACAATAAACATTTCAAAATCTATTTTCAACAATCCGAAGAGTTAGAATCTTTAGATTGTTGACAATCTATAGATTTAAACTCATATTCTCCAAACGACCCCTTAGTTCCAAATTCGTGGACCCCACGTATTTGCAAATACCACATTTCATTTGGTATTTGCAAATACCATACTATGGAAGGCAGATTTTTGAGACTCAAATATCAAATGAACTAAATTCATGATAAAAATTCATCTAAAAAAACACTGTTATCTTTCAAATACAAAATGCAATAAATCCATCATAAATCCAAAAGTTTTCAAAACTCAAAACCTTCATTTTCAAATCCAACAAGCAAACGAGCCCTAATTTGTTAGGTGGTCAAGTTGTTCTCAACAACTTAGTGCATAATTCTTATACACTAAATTGTGAGGCGATATTAATTTATTTACACCTAAAATTATCTTATACAACATTGGTGATGTACAAGATAATTAATGCTCTTATTAGACCAGATTAGTTAAGCAAGTAATGTTATTTAAGTTGGGCCTTATTGATCTTAACTTTTAAGTCCAAGCCACCAAATCCTTCGCGGGCATGGACATGAGTCAAGAGGGGCATGGCTTTCTATAAGAGGCCATGCCATGCCATGCCACGAATCAAGGAATCAAAAATATACTAAGACCGGGATGACCACGTTGGTCATGAGATCTAACCTTGTTGGTCATGAGATCTCACCATGTCGTTCATGATATTTGACTACGTTGATCGCAAGATCTAGATCTAGACAACCTTAGTCGTGAGATCTAGATCACATTGGTCGTGAGATCTCACCACGTCGGTCATGAGATCTGTCCAAATTGATCGCGAGATCTAGATCTAGACGAGCTTAGTCGCGAGACCTAGACCACGTTGGTAGTGAGATCTAGACAATGTTGTTCGCGAGAGGCAATACCGCATTGATTCACAAGGAGGCTACAAATAGACTAAGTCTAAGATGATCACGTTGGTCGCGAAATCTAGACAACCTTAGTCGTGAGATTTGACGATGTTGCTCACGAGATCTAGACTATGTTAGTCGTGAGATCTAGATCTAGACCACGTTGGTCACAAGTTCTAGATCTAAACCATGTTGGTCACAAGATTTGGCATTGTTGGTCATGATGGAAAGGAGGCAAGTACCAAGTCTTTAATTCCGAAAGAGAGCAACGCCTAGGCAGTTGAGGGAGCAACTGCCACTCATCTCAAGTTTGAAGATATGCCCGAGGAAGAAGGGACCAGTTCTTTTTGGAAGTTATCAAACAAGCAGTTCTTCAAGGCGGTTACCATTCCATGCCTATAAATAAGATGAGGGTTCGAACGAGACAAATGTTCCACAACCAGACAATTGATGTCTACGTCAAGCTTTATCATTTTTCTCTGCAATTAGCCATAGTCGTAGTTTGGAGCTCTCACTGAAGCTCCATAGGACTATAGGTAATTTAATGTAGTTATGTTCCCAAAAATCATCAATCAAACACCCTTGTTTGAACTATGTTCAAAGAGGCGTGAACCATGTCTTATAAAATTATTTGATTAAAGTGAAAGGTACAATCAATTTCATTTAACGTAAATTTTCTCATCGGCAAACAACAACCACATGTCAAAAGAAAACTACATGTATACAACCCATACTGCAAAGCATACCATAAATAAAGCAAGCTATACAAGTCATTTTGAAATTCGGAATTTATGTAGCTAACAATCTCACTTCCTCTTTTATCATGCTGACAACTTCATGCCAATTGATATGAGAATTTGTAAAGATCTGTTTGCAACGTTCTCTCCATAGCATACTTATTGTCCAAGACCACAAAACACCTCCTACCCGTCTTGTTGGGCCTCTTGAGCTAGCTCTAGTATATATTCAGTCTAAAATGATAAGTTAAGCTAAAAATCTATGTCATGGCAAAAAATAAATCCCCTATAGGACATACCATTTTGTAAATTGTAATGTTGGTTTTCTTATTCAAATGGAGCTTCAAACAAGTTTGTCTGACCACTTTATCTAATATTCAGAGTCCTCACTTAAAACATGTGACTAACGACGTATATTTAAGCACAAGACAAATAGAAAAGAGAATTCAAAGTTACAAATCTTTCTTCACTAATTTTTTCATATTTTATTCACATGCATTGAATTACCAACCAGCTTAAACCCCAACTAAATTCATAAAAAATCATACAATGATTTTAACTTTCTCGTTATAGTCACCTAGCCTCAACTAACATAATAGCTATTTGGGTATCTCAAAAGGTTCCATAGGATTGTCAAACCTTTTGTTTCTATTTTGAGTAAATACAATATAATAGTCAAACCTTTCATTTTATACAAAATAATAGCCAAACCTTTTCAAAAACATTTTATTAGCTAAACCGTTAACTTTCCGTCTAGTTGACCGTTAGTTGACTCTGACGTGGCCAATTTGTGATGATGTGGCTAAACATGAAGAATTGGCTGTGCCACATAGATATATCTCAAATTTAATTATTTTTTTAATAATAACAATAAAAAAACCCTACCCTCCTATACCTTCCCCTGCCTCTTCTACCTCCAATAATCTTCACAACCCCACCAAATCGACTTCCCCTCTTTTCCTGCCAAGCTTCATTCTTTTGATTTTTCCATCCTCTCGAACCCCTCACCTCGCTGATGCTAGAAGTCTAGCAACCCCATTCATATCCATCAAATCAGAAGTAAATTGAAAGGACTTTCCCAGAGATCAACCATTAACATCGAATCAAACAATTAGCGCTCTGTCCTCCCCCGCCGCCGCAACTGCTTCCCGTTTTTCTACATCGACCTGGCCAGAATCCCGAGTCGCCGTCGTTGATAATAATAATAGCGATTGGATGCGTCGGAGGTGGAAGGAGAGGAAGGGAAAGGATGGGGGAAAACCTCGATTTCAGAGCTTCCTCACCACGAATCGTAGATCTGGCGAATTAGGGTGTTGTCGTTGCAATCTAGTTATGCTCCTAACAGGGTATTTTGTTAGGAGATACTGACATGGCTGGATGGGCCTCCACGTCGCCAAGCCGCCATCCATCGGCGGAGGAGAAAACGCGCTGGACCGTGTGAGGGATGAGAGCCGATTCCATCGGCTGGGCCAAGCCCACTCCGGCTGGCGGGGCCCGCCGGGCCCACTAATTCAAAAACCCCCAAAAAAAATATCCTAAACCCTAACCCAAATCACTTTCCCCAAATCACTTTCCCCCCCCCCCCCTCTCTCCCCCCCTTTCTCTCTCCCTTTCCTCTGCCTTTCTTCCTCTCCCGATAGCTAGAGCCGCGACGCGCGGTGAATCGGAGATATCGGCGGCGGCGAATTCGGCGGCAGCAAAGTCTAGCGGCGGCGACGATCTAGGCGGCGGCGGCGACTCTGCAGCGAAGGAGGAGATCTCGGCGGCGCGACCTTGCTGCGAATCGGAGATATCGGCGGCGACGTCTTGCAGCGAAGGCGGAGATCTCGGCGGCGGCGAAGCAGCGAAGTCGGAGATATCGACGGCGGCGACCTTGCACGAACTTGGAGATCTCGGCGGCGACGACTCTGCAGCAGACTCGGCGGCGGCAATCTCGGCGGCATCGATCTTGTCGGCGGCGACGAAGCAGCGAT